TATTTGCAAAAAATCTTTAGGGTCCTTCAATTATATTTTTTAATTGACCGTTCTCTTGGTATTCAGAACTTCCCGTTTCACCTGCCGGGGAGTCACTATTTTATCCTCCGCCTTTTTTTATAACAGTATTCCGAGATTAAAATTTTTGAATTTTTAGTTTAATTTCTAGGATTACATTGGGGTACATACAGGGAAATATGCGGTGGAGGTTGAAATCAAGTAATGTTTCTTAAGCAGTTTTCTAGAAAATTATACTCCTTTGAACTTTCCATTGCATCTTTTGAAGATTTGGTTCCTCTGGTTACCCCCACTCTGTAGCCGGGATAGGTGGTAGAAATGAGTGGAAACTCAAAATAAACGAAAAAATAAAATGTCGCGCCAAAAGACCCGACATGAGGAAGCAATATGTTATAGCGTGCCGAGTGTTTGCAAGGATCTAGCTAGTATTGTACTATTAAATTGTCAACATCAACATAGATTGAGAGAGTCGTTGTAATTTTATTACGAATGCACTGCGAAGGTCATGCAAAATTGATGTGAAAAGCGCGGCCGGCTAGTAGTAGCCGTCGATGGGGGAGGTGACGCCGTTCTTGATCTTCCTGGAGCGCTTGCGTTGGGGCGGCTGGTCCTCGTCCAGCAGCAGGTTGAGCGACAGCTTGGCTTTGGGCTTCTTCTGGCTGCGCGGCCGGGGCGTGACCGGCCCCTCGCGGGCGCTGAGCGGCGACATCCCCGGCGACGGCGGCGTCTGGTGCAGCACCGCCTTCAGCAACTGCTGCTGCCGGCGCAGCAGATCCAGCACCTGCAACGACGGCAAACACGCTCCAAACGCGTTCAAAATGGGCGTTCACATTCGTGTAGGCTCAAAATGGGCGTTCACATTCGTGTAGGCTCAAAATAGGCGTTCGTGATCTTTTGCTTTTGATTGATAAGTTTGCTGGCCGCGTCAACTGCTAAGATAATTAATTCCAAAAATGCAGTGCATGCTTAATTGCGGGGAGAGGTGATCTAGCTGAATGGTGAGATCCGGTGCCGGGCTACAAGTCGACTAGCGGGTTATTCTTCAACCAGGTATCTCCCGCGGTGGGACATCCCGGGACAAGGTCTAAGCTCCCAGCTAGCCTGCCCACATGCATTGTAGTGTAGTGCACCTGTGTCTGTGTGTGTGTGTGTAAAAGATGGGTCGAGGATGGGACAATGAGAGGAAGGAAACATCGCACGCGTTCCGTGGCCCGTTTGTTACGATACTGCTCCGGCATTTGCCCGGTGTTGATCGGAGAAACTATGAAGAACTACCGATCAGAGCAGCCGGCCGTCAGAATTCTCCCCTTTCTTATATTTTCTCATCCCCACAACTTACATGCCCCCTGCACTACCCCATAGCTTAACTCAGCAGGTTGCGAAAATAAGAAAAAGTAGCTAGCGGACGTGTATGTCGGCGCCGGATCTGGCCATCCGGTGCACTCTGCTTGTGGGACTCGCCTGCACGAGGCGCTCGCGCGTGGTGGGGCGCGCGGGCGGGGGGCTGCGCATGGCGGGCTTGGGCTGGATGACGGTCGCGTTGACGCCGCTGCACGAGGAGAAGGCGGAGAGCGGGCGGCGCGGGGAGCGGCAGCTGGACTTGGCGCGGGGCGCCGCCTGCGTCTTGCGCCTGAGCTTCGTCATCACTCGGAGGGCGGCGGCCGCCGCACACGCGGGGGGGCGGCTTTCCGGGCGGCCCTGCGCGACCAACGGCAGAGGAAGACCCGCCGACCCGGACACTTCCGCGCCCGGAGCCCGTATCTACGTGGCCAACCGGAGGCGCCGTGTGCGATGCATAGATGCCAACGTTTCGTCCGCTACGCTGCGACCTTCCTCAGGGCGAAACGCATGTCGCAGCATGACGGCTGAAATATTGGCGTCTGTGCCTTCTTACAGCCAGCCAAGTAGATAATAAAGTACTGTCGACTCCGGTTGTATACTCTGGGGACTAATATGTTTAGTTCGGTTTCAGAGGTTCACTATATCCGATCATTTTGTAATATTCGTATAAAAATCGAGCGTGTAAAAATAAAAGTCAGTTTTTCGATGAATTCTCTGGGTTTGTGAACATTCCAAAAGTTTGATATCTTTCGGCACCTTCCAACAACCACAATATTGAAGATGTTCTTTTCTTCAAAATAAAATCATGAAAATAAGACCTTGTACATTTTTCTAAATATGAGAAGTTTTTGTGCAATTTCGTACAAAATGGACTTTTGAAAAAAGTATCTTCTAAAAAACAGCACCAATTAAAAAAAAACTTTTTGAACGATTAGTGCTAAATGCAATGACTTACGTGTCATTTAAGCCATTTTCATGAATCCTTTTGATTTTTTAAAGTTACAGAAATGCACTTTTGTTAAAGTGTCTCTCACATCGTTAATTATCATTACATGCATTTTTATTTATTATTTCAGTTGTGAGTATAAGTGCTTATTACTTTCCCGAATACATTCGTATATACGACGTAATAAACGTTGTGTAGGGAAATTTATGTATAGCTGCGGATAATGAATGAAAAAAAATGACATCAAATTTTTCAAAGAAAGTTGTCATTTATGTCGAGGTTTAATATTCTTAAAACAATATTTCCATTCTACTGTTAGGAAACAGAAAAATTAAGAAAAGTTTTTAAAAAAATGTACTTTGGGCGGTGATATATGGCAGTTGGCAAGAATGTGGCACCTGGTCGATACCTAAAGACATAAAAAACTAACACGGCGATTTCTGAGCCATTCTATAACACCACTAGTTTCTTATTACGTTTCTCAGAAGCTAAGAACTTTTCTGTAAAAGGATTCAAAATTGTGGATATTAAGGAACGTTCAAACGACATTTTCTCAAAAACGGCGCTACATTTTCCCTTGCTTATAGAGGTTTATTCTTCGCTTATAAAGTTGTATTCTTCTGTTATATTCTTAGAGTAATAATTCAGCATCAAAAATAGTTTTTGTAATCGTCTTGGGAAACATAATTTTTTTTCTTATTGTAACGGCCATGTCTTTTAAGAGCATTTCGTGCTGAAAAGTTATGTTACATTTTTAAGAGATACAATATCCATGAAAAAACTCATACTAGATTTTCCCGCAATATTCGTTCGGTTGTCTGATCTGAGTGAGATATTGAGATTTTGAACGATATATTCTATATTTTTGAAGTAGCTGAATCCAATATCCCGAATAATTTTACTAATTACAACAACACCTTTCTAGGATTCAATTTTAATATCCAATAAGTAGTTGGAACTATTTGTTGAATTTCAGAAATACTCATTTCAAACGTTTTTAATAGATGAATTGACCCTGTTGTGACAGTCGAGGTATTTTCTCCCCCTTGATGTTGTACAGTCAGGATGCATTGTGTGCCAAAGGTTTTTCACCCTGTCGCATTCTGAAGAGAAACCTTTGAAGAAAGTGTCCTAGGACGAAATTTAAGACTTTAAAGTTTAATCATTTGCTGGAGAGTAGGACTGTTCACGTTAAATCATTTGCTGGAGAGTAATTGACGACTAATAATGAAATAACTGCAAAAAACAGGAAATGATCTGTGCTACTTAAAGCAGTGTAATGGATTTGTAATGGCATATGTTGTAATGGAGAGTAACGTACTGAAAGGAAATTAAATTTTATCAACAAAATGTTTGTAACGTCGAAACCATAAATGTCTGTTGTTTTCTCTTTTAGAGCAATTATTTTACTGTGATAAGAATAATATTTTTCTTATTCTTGGTGAAAATTATCTTGCACAATTTAGAAAAAACTAATTTTGTAAGATTAGCACGTATGTGCATCATATGGGCATCATTGAGGTTACAATTCCTAGCAAGAGACTTGACAGTTATACCGCGATAGCCTTATTCGCCAGAGATGATGTATTCCAACTACAAATCAGACATTTTCTTTCGAATACTGTGATAACCCATTCTCAAGTCCATGTATTATAGCAATAGAACTAAATGGTTTTAAATGAATTAACAAGTAAAACTATTAATAAACCTACGAGTTCCTTATTCGAGTTTCAGTTTAAGCCAGATGTTCGGGCAGTATGGTGTCGGGTTCGAAATCATATTACCCCTAAGGTGTTACATCAGCATCTGTAACAAAACGAAAACTTGCTTTTAATTAAACGTATAAAATTGCAAGATATGATACTCATTTTCTCACACTTACGTTGTCTTTACCATATAAAAAATCAGATGAGGAATTAAGTTACATCTACTAAGAATAAGAATGCAGTTAAATATTCCATAATGGAAACACTCTGGAAGAGCATAAACTCTTCTAAATTAAAATTTAAAACAAATTATAATCATTTTCATGAATATCAATTCGAGAAGTTCTGAATAGCAGTCAAAACCTCCCTTATTACAAAACTTCAGTTAGAGTACTTACCTGCAGCAGGGAGCACATCATTTGTTATTAAAAGTCCAGTTGCAGCATGAGAATGTGTGACAGCCACATACGCTCATATTTAGTGCTTACTGCATGTAAGATATTCAAATCCTCTTGGTGTTACTGTAAAAGATGCTGAGAGGTATGGTACGTTCAACCGACGTGATAAAATTTATGTTTTTCAACGAAGGTGGTCTCCAGGGTACCTGCCAACAATGTGAACGTGAAGCAAACAGAACTCAGATGGCGCGGGTGGCGGCGTTGAAAGTCATGCCAGGCGGAAAAAGTGTTAAGGTTCCGTGAACTACACGAGTGTTTTAACAAGACATAAGTTTAAAAATATATAATTAATTTATTTACCCATTTGAAATGAGCGAGGAATAATTGTAATGTTTGACAGCTATTGCCATCAAACTTTCATTAAAAATGTGGTACTGAAAAGAAATTAATCGAATCTGATGCTTTGTCTCTAAAGATAATTAAAATTTGAAGTTGTAAGTACGGGACATTGGGGCATAAGGAACTACATCATTCATCCAGAACTGTTGTGTTTTTGTATAAATATGCCATCGCTGGTTACAAGAACACACATTTATTCAATGCAACAGAAGATGCTGGTAGTATACATAGCAACAAAAATGCTGGTAGCAGGGCCATGTTAGCAGGCAGCTGGTAGCAGGCGTGACGAAATGACGGCCGAAGGCCGTGGACTTGAGGACGACGGTCGGCATTTTGTGGAACGATGGCGGAGACAGTGATTGTAAAATGTCCAGTGTAACGCTAGATCGAACTTGAAAAAAATATAAAAAGAATGAAAAAAGTTACAATTTTGACCGAAAAATATAAATATTTGATTGTGTTCTGTCAATACTCATATTAGTGACTTGAGTTTACCGAACTCTCACTCTCAGTACCTTCCAGCTTATGACATCACGTCAAGTCTCGAAGGAAGATGTCGTTCACCATTAAATATTGCTATTTTTGATTTGCGTAATAGAAAGGCAATATTCTTTGTATGTCAATAAATTACACTATATTATTCACGAATTCTATTTTTGTTAAAATATTCGTCGATGCACCGAAGAACACCCAAAGAAAAACTCAAAGGGATCTCTGAGGATTCCTCCTAAAATTACAAAGCGCAACGGGAAAAGATGTAATATATCTAATAAATATTTTTTTAATTCTATTAAAATTATTTCAATTTACTAGATATATTTTAAAAAGTTATATAGATTATAAATAATATTTTAAGAAAATAAAGAATTCCAAAGTATATTTTTATTATTTTTACTTCAAATTAATATATCCTAAAAACGAATGATAAAAAACAATATTGATGATATATATGTTTTTCTTGGCCACAAATTACGGTAGTTTTTCTATTTTGAAAAAGAAAAGAATTTCGAAGTGAAGTTTTATCAGTTATTGGTATGAGAAGGCACAGAAGGCGAGAAAATGTTCATTATTACTGATTTTCAATTCATTTACAATTTATTTTGACGTAAAGTTCCTAGCAATGTGATTTTTTTGTAATATTAACCCTGCGAGTTTGGAAGTGAAAAAAATATTCAGAGTAATGTTGTATCCTCCGTTACTCAGGGCTTTAATCAGTTCTATCATATTTCTGCCAATCTTTCTCCATGTGCTCGTCCTTTAGCATACCACAGAATATGCTGACGTTAATGGCAAATTCATTCTCTGTATCGCTGTTACAGAATATCTTTATGCTATATCTAGCAGACTCAATCGGCACATAGTACGTTTTGAAAGGATGCCGACCTCCAAAGCTAGCTAAATATACAGCCACAGTCACATATTCACTAGGATTATATATGATTTTACAGATATTTACAAAAAATGCTATATATAACTAATAAGAGGGAATTTATCAGTCTTCTTGCGTTTATGGTTCGCGTGTCAACAAGGTATATGTACTCTCAAATGTCTTGAAACCTACGAATATTCAGTGTTGCTGTGAAAAACGGAACATTTATTAAAAATAATTCCATTCCATTCAGTTAATAAGTGTGAAAATTTGAATCAAGCTCTTCGTAATTCAAATTTTCACACTTATTCCCTGAAGAAAGATTGACTCTTGCTGGTTGTTACTTCCCACACAATCTACGTAAGGAACGTGCCCACATTTATGGTAAAAACGGAAACTGTATTGTGTACAGTTTCTGCAAACTCAAAAGTGGTAGTGTCATAGAGTGAGAGCATAAAGTGATTCATTACCGAAGCCAACTGCCGATCTCCGCGACTTTGTTCGTGATAAAATATCTTCAACAAAGACAAAGAACAATAGCCTTTCAGGTTTCTTAAATGGAAAGTACGACTACCTACAGGAAAATCTTTATTTCTAAAATTGATTAGTTTCCGTTTAGGGGGATACTTGGCAGTCCGAGTTGAGCCGCGTCTATGTCAATTGAGCTGACGTTTCGGCCATCGTGTTGTTGCCTTCTTCAAAGATATACTGCTGAACGAAAACATCTAGTTTCTGTTTACCCTCCTTGAGCTATTAATACCCAAATTATTGTTTTAAGATGTCAGAAAATATTATTTGACACAAGCAAAACACAATAGAGTTGCAGCTGTGAATAGAAATAATGGGACCTCCTAGGTCTCTAAATCATCGACGGGTTAATTTATTGCAGTATTATATATTAGTGCAAAAATGATTGCCTTTAAAAATCCTCATTTGATTAAGTTTTCGTAGCAGCATAATAAAGGTGTAATTCTTGTTTCAACTCATTCGATGAAATACTTAAATAAATATATTAAATAAGCACAAAATGTCAATTTGCAATGTCAAAATCTTCAAAACTAACCCGACGTACACAGATAATTCAAATATTAAGTTGAAATGTACACGAAGTCAGTGAGACCCTGAAACCCTGATTTTATTCAATATCTCCGCAGGTGACATCGCCAACATATTGTAACTCTCTCCTTTCTCCATTTAAATACACGTCATGACCTGTTCTCGAGTATAAGGAATTTATACACACGTTGGGAGAATGGATAGGTGTTGACCTTCAGGTACATGTTTTGATTGTTGTCACTGAATGTCACTGAATGATCACGGATTAATTTTTTGTCAATGAATTTGAAAATTCTAAATTTTGACATGAAGACTGTGCTTACTGCGGTCAATAACACTCGGAGCGTATATAAACACATAAACCACTTTAACATAACTCGTACATTATTTCGTTTATTGACACGTACATTCCGTATATAATGAAGAAAATTATACACTTTCAATAAAAATTGGGTTAAAATAATTGTTTTATCCATTTCTTGAAAAGATATCTTAAAAGTTTCTCATCGCCAAATACAATCATACAAAACAAAACATCTTCCATAACACCACAACATTTTCATATTCCACAACAACTCTAGTAAAATATTTAATGTTTAATTGGAGAACGTATTGCAATCTGTTAACTCAAAGTTTCGTGATTTTAGTTTTGTAGTGAAAAAAAATTATGAACGTTAAACATGTTGCAACTTTGGATTAAAGACCCTGTATTCTGTGAAATACTTGATGTGAAAGATGTGTTAACTCGTCAAATGTAGAAAAAAATTATATTCAAGCAGTGGTTTCTCAGAGTTTGTAAGCAAGGTAGTCTTAACTCCATTGTTGTCACATATATAGGTCTTTCCTGCAATAATAAATAAGAGCATGTAGTAATGAAATTTTGGGCAATCTTCCCCAAAACATCATCAGAATAGCATTTTGGAATATTTAAATGCAGACACTCCTGGTCGGAAATAAAAAATGTTAATGAGATTTAACAGGACTTCTTGTCGACATTTAAGTAAATAATCTTATGTTAGAAATGTAAAGGATATTAACATAGATATGATACATATATGATAAACTTAGTCAAATTTTATGAAGGATGTACATCCTACTGGATTTCAGGAAATGTGAGGGACTGATGATGTACTTGAAAATACTTAATTTGAAAGCTTTTTATCTGGGTCATTATTAAGAGCTGTGGGGCATTCTTTATGGCAAGTTAATATTTTATCTATCGTCTCGCTATTACGAAGGATAGAAATACCAATAAAATACTCAATCTAGAAAGTAAAAATTTATTGTTTCAAGCAATACGAGTTCTTGAAATCACACTTGAAATGATATTACAAACAGTTTGTTGAAACAAATTTAGAGAACTATTACACAAGATTTTCAGCGTTTTTAAAACCGCGTTTTGAAACAAAATGCAACGCAGTAGACGCAACATATCACTTGTATGGTATAAGAAAATAGAAAAAGTCCTTTTAGGGAATAGGCCACGTCACGCGATTCAATTCGTTTCAGTAACGCAACATTGGCAATGTAAGTATCGTTCTTTGTTTACAGGATACATGTCTTACGTACTAATTGCTTTATGATTTGACTTGACAAATTATAAGCTATCATTCTGAGTCAAAAAGTAAGAAAACATAGCCTAGTTTAAAACGAACTGATTGCCTCTGCCTGGCCGAATCCTAGCCAAAAATCGCGTAGCGTGGCGTGACACAAGTGGGAGGTGCTGACATCGGATGTCCCGAGGACACAGCGGGGTTGTTCCGAGTGCTGCCTAGGACGCATTATGGAGGCACAACTGACGCACAGCATCGTCGAGTTCATCATACGGGATCATATTGTCTATGATTTTACGAGCTGTTGCTACTCGTCGCGATAAGTTCCACAGGAGTACTCCCACCACCACGTTGTCCCGAAGGTAGAACACCTGCAATGGAAACGATGTTCACTTGAGCTTGTGAGATATGTAAATCGAAGCCTCTGAGAAGTCCAAGGAAAACCAGAAAGTAGGGATGAAACAGAAAGAGGAAGACACAGGCAAAGAAAATCGAGGGGAAGAAAGGGGGGAGAACAAAAAGAAGCATTTATTGATTAACGTTTCCGGAGAGCTCAAATGCTATGGTAATTACTCGTGATAGTGTAGTGCATTTTTATTCCGGAGGAAGGTGCGAACTACATGTCCTTCACGTATCTCTCCCCCGGGGGAGCAGAACCAGCGTAGACATGCTCTAAGCACCCGTTTGCCTCCCGACATGGGAGGTAGTTTAGTGTATATAAGTGTGTGCGCTTGTGGAAGGAGAAAAGAGAGAACAAGGATGAGGGGGACAATATCGCCCGCGATCTGTGGCCCGTTTGTTTGGGTACTTCTCCGGGATTCACCTAATATTCATTGAAAAAACCACTGGAAACTATCTATGAGAGCAGCCGGCCACTAAACTACTTCTACAAATACCAGCTGCTTTGTCAAAAATTCACTACCGATAAGACTCGAAGCCCAAGACCCCCGGCCAAAGTCGCTGCTGAGTCAGCAAGGATCTGACTTAAATGAGGCAGTTAAGAAAAAACATGAAAGGAACAAGAAAGAGGAGATCACTAATAGGTAAGTAGCAGAAGAAAGAAGACGAAAAAGAAGAATTAGAGGAAGAGGAACAACGAAAGGAAGAAAAACGAGAATGAAGAGAAGAAGAAAATATGGGAAAGAAAGGAAGAAGCGAAAAGAGAATAATAAAGGCAACTGAGCCCAATACTGCTTGTTATGTATTCGGTTAAAGATTCACATATTACGCACATTCGTAATTCTAATGAATCCAGTTCAAAAGTCAGTATTCCCACCGCCTTGAAAAAACAATCTTCATGATCACTGATACTTAATCCTTACTATATTCACGATCATGCGAGACCGTCCCAAACTATGTTAATGACTTAAGTTTTATTTTTATACATTTGAGAATTTCCCCTCTCAAAAGTGAGTGGTAGGTCCGCGAGGGACAGCGAGGCTAGTTCAAAAGCGCAGCGGCTCCGGCAACGCGTGTCCGGAGGGACAGGGGGCTCACCACGCCGTGCGAGTAGTCGACGTCGTCGTAGCCGCTGGGGTCGCAGGAGTGCGCGCGCGGCGGCAACAGGCGCCGGGAGTTCTCCGAGATGGGCGCGAACACGCCCACGGTGGCCAGGCGCGTGTCCACCTCGCCCACCGCCTCGTAGGTGGCGCCCGGCGCCAGTGACGCCCAGCGCACCGGCACGTAGTTGTAGTTCTGCGCCTCTTCGCCCTGCCCACGCGCACCCAACGCCTCTTTGAGTGGTGCCGGCACGCGTTCCATTCAATTATCTCTCAATGGACACGTATGCGTACGAAAAATGCCAGATAAATGCATATTTTTCTGAATGAGATAATTTTATTACGATAGCTAGAACCATAACAGCGTCTAAGCAATAATTATTAGCCACTGTCCCTATGCCCTTAACCTTTTTCTATTAATTACTTCTATACATTTCCTTTTTTATCCATTAACTATCCCAGCCAACTGTCCACATTTTTCAAAGGATGTAAATAGTTCAAGGAACGTCACTTGTAGCTTTGGAAAAAGAAAAGAAAACAATTGCCAATATTTTTTAAACTAGTCTCATAATCTTTCACCATTATATTATCTTCCTTGTGAATCATAATATTTCACCAGTAAAGTGTTTTATTAGCTGATTCTTTTAACAAACGTGCCTTCATTGGGGCGGAATTGGTGTAACGTTTAGCGTGTCGGACCCAAGTTGGCGGGTTCAAACCCGATCACATCTGTGGATTTTTAAGGGCCAAAAAATCCTTCGTACGCTCTCCTTCGGAGAGGAAGTAAAGCCCACTGTCCTATATTAGATTTACTGCATGTAAAAGAGCCTTAAGTCTAAATGATGCCTCCGAGATGAATTCAAATCGCCTGTTTTGTCGTCAAAGAAATATCTCATTTCTCCGCTAGTTGGTGAAAGGAGCGTAGCGAAATTTGCGTGGACAGACGGAAGAGCGGGCACGTAGGCCCGATCCTCTCCACGTAAAGTAAGGCATCAATCCAATTGAACTCGTTCGATTCATGAAGTCGTAGGCTTCCGCGAACAGAGTCATGTGGGTGATCTGGGCTGTCCGGGTGACGCCGCGTCGAAGGCTGAGTTGCCGACGTTTCGACCATCCGTCGGCAACTCAGCCTTCGACGCGGCGACACCCGGACAGCCCAGATCACTCGTTCGATTCAGTTCGCCGTATTCCTTTCGACCCGCCAGATCCAGCCAATGTGTGCCAATCGAAAAGGCGCACCCACCTTGCCCTTGTTGGCTGCCACCATGTTCTGGCCCGCCAACCGGCCCGAGGCCAGCGCGTGGTCCAGCCCGTCCAGGCGCATGCGGCCGCAGTCGGGGTTGCAGAAGGACACGCAGTCGCCCGCCGCCCAGATGTCGTCCTTCACGTACAGCTGCGAGTTGGCCTTGAAGCCCAGGCGCTGCGCCAGGACGGTTTGCGTGAGACAATCGCATACGTGGTTTTCAAGCAACAATGCACTCGGTGGTGGCAGCGTGGACACGAAATTGCGCTTTTGGTGCCTCCCTGCTTCGTCGGTTTTGCACTCCGAAACACGCCATATTTCATTCCAACCCTAATCGGTCTTCAGCACCTGACTATCGTTTAGATAACCGTATAACAAAAAAAATAACCCATTACACTCGAATATAGTAGGAAAATCTCTATCTCCGTGAAGAGGAAAGATATAAAAATAATTACAATTCAACGTGACATCAGGCGTCTGAAGAGTCCCCTTTTTTTATTTTTTTTATTTTGACCACAAAAGCTCGGTTAATGTTTAACTCTTCGTAATTCTGTATTGCTGACTTTAGTAACTAATTATAAAATCAAACTTTCAAATGGCATTGAAGTTGAAGGAAGAAAGTTGTCATATCTAATTAGGATAATTTTCAGACAATAATTTTAGAAACATGAATAATGGGTACAAAATATTTTTTTTTACTTGTGTGGTTAGTTTTTCTACCAGGGTTTGATTCTGCTAGATTTGGTGTTTGCATTAAGGTAGATTAGAAATGGGTGGATGTGAATATGATGCGCTGGATTATGGGTTCGAAGTTAATTATTTGTGTACTGTTTATTTGATATGAGTCATGGTGGATGGGCAATTGCCCTTAGGTTTCGCTTTTGGATGATTTGGATATTTATTTAGGTTGAATGTGGCCTTAATGAGTATGTGTATAGTAGTTTCGTATATTGAGAGTCTATGGCTGACTCTCATTGATTGGTGATTTCAGTTCAAGTAATTTGTTTTAGCTTGAATTACATAGCCAATGTAATGTTACCAGTTCAGCTACGTACCGTCGTGTAGTCACATACACTCATATCAAATAAACAATACACAAAAAATTAACTTGAAACCCATAATCAAGCGCATCATATCCACATCCACCCATATCTAATCTAACTTAATGCAAACACCAAATCTAGCAGAATCAAACCCTGGTAGAAATACTAACCACACAAAAATAAAAAAATATATGTAGTACCCTTTATTCATATTTCTAAAATTGTCTGAAAATTATCCTAATTAGATATGACTACTTTTTCCCTCAACTTCAATGCCATTTGAAAATTTCATTTTATAATTAGTTAATAAAGTCGGCAATACATAATTATGAAGAACTAAACATTAACAGAGTTATTGGCATCAAATTAAAAAGAAAAACTTTAAAAAAAGGGACTCTTCAGATGCCTGATGTCACGTTGAATTGTAATTATATTTGTATGCTTCTCTCTCACGGAGATAGAGATTCTCCTACTAGATATTTGAGAGTAATGGGTATTTTATCTGCTTATTTACAGTTGGATTCCTTAATGTCCGTGAAGACCCCTTTAGGGGTGAAAGGGGTCTGCTGAGTACCTTGCAGTCGACGTTGAGGCCGGAGCGGCGCGCGAGGTCCGTGTTGGGCACCGCGGCGGCCATCACCACAATGCGGCACGCGGGCAGGCGGTCGCCCGTGCTCAGGCGGATCTCCGAGTGCTCGCCCGCCTTGGAGGTGGTGCCTCGCACCTTCGCCCGCGGCACCACCCGCACGCCTTCTTGCTGCAAGGCGGATAGAACAGGCGTCCTCATGTGCGTTTGTAGAACAGGGCGTTTCCATGTGCTACTTCACACCAATTTGGTATTACTGCTCTGACAGGATGTCAACTATTGAGCCATTTTAGAGAAAAAAATCCAGCTTTTAAATGTGTGAAGCAATGGGTTAAAAATTTATCATCTCTTATAAGTTCATTAGCAAGGTTTTAACTCTTTTACGTTACTAAGGTGAGGCCACGTTCCTGAATCACATAACGCAAATTGGCTGGGAAGTAAAGATTTAAGATTTTTGCTAACACCTGCGTGCATTTGCCCTTACAGAGAAAATAATTATTTTAATGTTTTGGAATTACAAACAGGGACTAAGAGGCTGGATCAAAAACCTAACAAATCTTTTCACAAACACAATTTATCCCGAAGTTTAAACTACTGATAAGTATCCTGAAGAATCGTTGGTATTTATTATTTTTCAACATACAGTTGTCATCCCCTTAACTCAATCCAAGTTCCCGTTCCATAACCTGTTAACTTCTACTATCGCATGGCGTTCTGCGTAATATACCATTAGATGTCATTGGAATAACTCCTGTGTTTTCATAGTGATTCTGTCCGTTTCTAATATTTTATTGCTTAAGTGGATGTACTATTTTAAGTTTTTGGGCAGATTATGGTGCAGGGATAAGTATTCATTTGAAAAAAAAGTCTTTCATCTTTCTCGAGTCGCTCAAACATTTTACAATAAAATCGCGAAGTAGGTAATTGTTGTAGCTTAATTGGATGCTTCCGTATTCACTATTAATAATAATAAAAATAAAAATAATAATAAAAAAATAATAATAAAAAATAATAAAAATAATAATAATAAAAAATAATAATAAAAAATAATAATAAAAATAATAATAATAATAATAATAATAAAAAATAATAAAAAATAATAATAAAAATAAATAATAAAAATAAATAATAAAAATAAATAATAATAATAATAAAATTTAAAAATAATAATAAAAATAAAATGCAGGCATCATTAATTTGTGTCGCACCTCAAGGCGGCGCGCCAGCCAGCGGCCCAAGTAGACGGGCAGCACCTTGGCGTGCGGGGTCTCGTCGGGGTAGACGAAAGTATGGCGCAGCCGGGGATGTTGAGTCGCGTCCGTGGCGCTGCCAACCGCCCACCGGCCAGCTCGGCACGCCTGCCGGCTCGGCCACCCACCACGGATGATGTCGCGCGGCCGCCGACCGCGCACAGCCGCCGCGCGCAGCGTCTCGAAGTCGCACACGTCTGCAGCGCCATCAAACCTGCGCACGTTCGGCACGCACTCTCAGACGTTTCTCCCAAAATTATTTCATCTCTAATAGGAGTAAGCTTTCAGAGAAGTGGTGTGTCTCTGCAAAGTATACGAGCTGACCCGGCGGAACTTTGTTCCGCCTATAATGGCAATAAGATAGCAGATTTTTTAATTGGAAAAAAATACAAAAAAAAATTAAATATCCTACAGTTAATCATCATAATTATTTCTGTACTTTTAGTACATAGTTGCCCTCTTCATTTAAGTACCTTGTGATACACGACATTTTTTTGTTTCTTATCAGGCGCAAAACAAAACAACGCAGATGGTCTTCCGACCCGGTGAACGTGCCACGTATAATTGGAACATGGAAAACATGAATGTGTCTAGATCTGCTAAAACCACACAACTTTTACAGGATTGGCCTCTGTGATTTCTGTTGCATGGTCATGGCATAATGCAAGGACGATATCGGAAATGAAGTCTTTAAATTCAAACGACGCATATCTGGTTGGTTATCATCGGTATCCTCAGTAATGGAACTTGCCTCCACCGTTGATTTCCTATCATATACTTAGCCCGGTTTAAATTACATTGATTCGATTCAATTTTCTAACCACCAAACGCGTACCGTTGCACAGTTTTGGTTGGATTTATTGTTTCGAAGCAATGATTACTACGGAAGCCAACCTTTAGGCGTAAATTCGATGCGGTGTAAGCCAGGCAGCGTCGCAAAGAGTTTAAAATTCAATTGGATATGTGTGGCTTCATCTTCATTTGTGGTGACACAAGTCAATAGATTTGAATGAATGCATTGTCCAATGCTTATTTTGAATTATGTAGTTTAGGTCATCTACATCTTATTCTATGCCGCTAAAATTGCTCCTCACTCAAAACCATTCATGATTTTATGTAGCTTAGAAAAATTTTCTGGAATACATGTTGATAAGTTCGTCTTTTTGTGATGAGGACAAATACAGAAATTATTTGGAAATGATAATTAATCCGCTGCGATCATCGACAGGTACGTTGACCATTGGCCGATAGTAGCAATTGCTCCGAGAATCTTCGCAGATGTATCATTAAGCAAATGTACTCTGCATGGTTGTTGTCAGTTTGCGTTTCTTTCACGATGCGCCGCATAGATTTGACGATTTGATGGCAAGCGGCTTATTTCCGTCGGAAGCGCGTAGATCTTGAATTACGTGGCAGTTATTTGGCGGAATCGCCAGACAGTACAATCATGCTCCTCCCCCAAAACATGTCGAGGTCTTGCAAGAGCTTTTAGTGTTCGGGTTTAGTGCTCTCAATGCCAGCTTTTATTGCGTTTTTTTTAATATAATTATTTATTTTTTAGGTTTCTTACAAATAATCAAATTGTCATCCATACGTCATTTACATATCTGTCAGTATACGTTCAATTACATAGCTTGTCATTTGCGTTTTGGTATTCCAAGTCTATTCTTTTTTGTCTATACCACGTTTATAGAGACTGACGTTCATGTCAAGTCACACGTGAAGCTGGTCGGACGGGATAAAAAGTATCCTATGTCCTTTCCCTGGCTCTAAAACTACCGCCCTGCCAATTTTTCAGCTAAATAGGTTTAGCCGTTCTTGAGTTATAAGTGGAGTAAACCTAACACGACTTCTTTTATTATATATATTATATATATATATATAATATATATATATATATATGGTATATATATATATAATAATAATATATATATATAATATATATATATATATTATGTATAATATATACGTTTGTATGGAAAGAGGAAAGCGACAGGAATTTGCCTACAGGAATATTGCTTAACTCGGCAGGGGGGGACGCGAGAGGATGGCTCGCCGAGCAAAACGCAAACAAGGAACTTAGAAAAGCGGCTTACCGGCAGGAAGGCTATGCGAAGTGGGGGAGAGGAGAAGGGGAACGGACCCAAGGTGCGTTTAGCGAGGAGTGTCGGAGACCAGGCGCGAAACATATTAATAGGCCTTAAAAAGGAATCAGAAAGAGACAGGGAACGGAAGAAGCTAGAAAACAGTTATTGTTTACGTTAGGCAAGTACGAGGGCGACCAATTAGAGAAATCGAAGAAATCTTGGCAGGTATGATGCAGCAAGAATACAGACGAATTCTAAGAAAGAAACGATTGATAAGGAAATTCAATTTGGGGCGATCAGAATCTATTTGCGCAATTAAATAAATGCAAGTAATGAAAGATTTCAGTGACGCGTTGGGTGCAATATTTTTCTCGGACGTTCACGAGTAGAGACCATTGAAAACAGGGCAAGGGTAATTTTCCATGACCAGAGTGGCCTGAATTAGGACGAACCTCTAACCTGGACGTGCAAGTAAAAAATGAGGGCCATATTCCTAACAATGAATAGAGTAAGAAGGCAGTGGCGCCGGACGCATTCAACGAAACATGTCGGGAATTGTGGCACATAGACCCAGAAGCAGTATTATGAAGTTATTTAATGCATTGCTGATTCCGGCTTCGTATCCAGGAAACGTGGAGTACAGTATCCTCAATGCCGATATTTTTAAAGAATAAGGGGATGCGGAATTGCCCCATCAAAATGTAAGTCGCGGGAATTTAGTCTTTGTGCCGCGCTGAGCAAACTCGTTCTTGTAAAAAAGCTCAACGGGCGACTGAGTGGA